GCGCTGAGGAAAGATTACAAGGACAAGCTGGAGCAGGTGAAGAAGGAGCTGGAGGAGAATTTCATGGAACAGAAGGAGCAATTGGAGAAGCAGCTGACCGACAAGCTGGAAGATTTGAGACGGAAGATGGTGGTGAAGGTAGGCTTGGTTACGTTGCACGATCCATCGAATCGTTTGGATCTAGCTAATTTTTCTAATCGTTTCATACGATTCTTTCAGGAGGAACGAGAGATCCAGAAATTGATCGCCGAGATGGACGAGGCGAAGTTGGAGAACCTGAAAAAGGTGAAGGCTGAATTGGAAGTGTGCTACGAGAAGGAGAGACAAGAGATCCTGACGAATCTGAAGACCGAGCTCGACGAGAGGAAAGGTGAATTGTTGGAACTACGGAATCAGGAAATGGGAAAATTGGAGAACGAGCACGAACGCGACCTCGACGAGGAGAAACTGGCGAAACTCAGCGAGATCAAACTGACGAAGCAACACTCGGCGAGAATAAAAGCGATGAAGACGGAATTGGATAAAGAGTTCGACGAGTTGCGAACTCAGCTGCGTGTGCAACAGAAGGAGAACATTACGAAAATCACGGAGGAGCACGAGAAACGTCTAGTCGAAATTCTACGCGATTTTAAAATCAACGTGAGTACCTGACGATGTCTGTTATCCTAATTGTAAGTACCCTGTGCAACTCTGTACACTTTGTTATTGCGCAACGTATCATTTTCCTGTCCCTACCGAAGATTTATTTTTCTCGTTGAATTGCGTAACCGTCGGTTTAACGACCACGTTGTTTCTTAAGGATACTAGGTTATGGGTACGATGCGAACAATGTTATGCAACGATTGGTTAACTCGTTACATACGTGCAATTTCTTTCTGCGAACGCGATAAAGCGGCAGCTCGTCGGTTCCTTTGGCGTAAATAAATATGTCATCCCCTTCCCCATTTTCCTTCGCTTATTGTGCAATACCGTCCAGATCCGAGCGTCTCGTAGATTAGCTTTAAGACGAATCCTTCTATACTTGTTGTATTCCGAAAAAAAAAAAAAAAAAAAAAAAAAAAAAAAAAAAAAAAAAAAAAAAAAAAAAAAAAAAAAA